TCAACTATCAAGGCACCCTGGAAATAGCAGGTCACAAGAGCGTGACAGACATACAAAAGAAGTAGAGGGAAATGACAATAGTAAGGATTAGGAAAAAAAAAGCAGTAGTTCCCTGTTGTAGATCAGGCAGTTATGAGCGTGACATGATGAATCAGCCCATTTACAATTCTACTGTGCATGAACGAGAAATGGGTCGTGGGTCCTTTATGACCTATACATAATATATTGTGTAATATAGTGGAAAATATGGCGTGGGTTGTTTCAGATCTAAGCTTGTATGAAATGAAGAGAAAAATATTCTCTTGCTTGTTTATAAAATTGCAACAAACCATGTTTCTTAGTGCGTGAATGCATCGTGTGTGTAGGTGTGTTGTTGGGGTCAATTCACAGCGGTGAGCAGTCTTTTAGTTTTTAGTTTTGGTAAGTTTTTACAGCGCTTGCAACTGCATAATAATAATAAGGCTTAGGTCATCTGAGCACCAAGGGGTTGATGTCAACATAGAAGTCCAAAAGGGGAATCAGGCTTACTCTGCCCAGTGCCCACCTCTCTAGCCTCTACACCACAGTCTGCTTCGACTATCAAAGCACTCCAGAAATAGTTCACAAGAGAGTGACAAATAAAAACTGACAAACAGACAAAAGAAGTAGAGGAAAATGACTATAGTAAGGATGAGGAAAGAGAAAGCAGCAGTTCCCCCTATGTTGTTACGGCACAGTAAGAGTATGAGAATGACATTGATAAATCAGTCCATGTACAATTCTACTGTGCATGAGAACTTTGGAAATGGCCTAAAAACCCTTCAGTCAGTGGCACTGTTCTGGCGAGTGAGCACAGTCTGTGCAGTATGATTGTATGTGTGAGAGAGAAAGCATACAGTTATTGCTGGTGGTGACATCGTTGATCCTTTAGAGATTTACATGTAGTGATAAGATAAGAATGAGACTCATTGTCCAAAATGAAATATCTGCTCATCAAATGGTAATACACTGTCACAGACACAATAGGTCTACATTCATCTAATATATGAATGAGCAGTTACATGTGTACACACCCACAACCACATGCTGTATACAAATACATGTATGCACATTAACTCTCACTCACACACACACATTCACACCAATGTATCGCTACACACACACACACATCATTCACACAATGCATCCCTATCGGGCCTATATATGCACACACCTTGTCACTGAACACACACACGTGTGCACACTCACACCACACACAGGATTTTTTATATTATTTAGTATCGATGAGGGTAAGACCACGTTAAGGACGTACGACACTACACAACGGACAACGATTTGTAGTTTGTCGATAATAAAGCAAAACAAAGAAGGAAGTAAAATATAACAAAATCATTTTGCCATACCACGTTGACACCGACACAATTTTCCAAGTCATGGACGACACGATTCCCAGAGAACATGTTTCAAAATTTTTGTTCGTCTGTTTCAAGGGAATTAATCTCAACTAGTCCCCTTCATAATTTAATGTGTCTTTTTACCACCAGTTGTCTACAAATAACTATGATGCAATGTCACTAAAAGATAAATAGTCGTAGCCTACATGTCTTATTGTGCTTTGTATATATCGCAAACATGAATGAAGAACGACTCAAAATTTGTTCTTTTCTTGGTCAAGTCATCCCTGCACTTCTCCAAAAGTTCATAGAAACTACTGGGTTTCCTAATAAAAATAGCTGAAGAATTTTTCATTTTATAACAATTGCGTGCGGGTATAAATGATGATATTCACCAAGAGTCTCGTGCTGTCTCAATATTGGGTGAATGCCATATTTTTTAGCACTCTGCTGTTGTCTCTTGTCTCCTCCTCAACCATAATAAAAACAACTTCTTTCTCCTGGTGCACGCCATGTATGAGGATAGAATGTCGTGGAAATTGTCCGTTGTTAACGTGGTCGGTTTTTACCACGGACGACAAGGATGATTTCAGTTGTCTTGTCGCCCGTCCTAAACGTGGTCTCACCCCTACACATATTTTACATGCCACGGCAGTAAAATAACTTTAGGTCTGGTCTGCTAAATCTTTTGGAAGTTTTAGAGCAGAGTAAAAAATTATGATCACCGCTTCAGAAACAACGCATAGCATATTTTTCTATAGAGGCCTACATTACATTATATGATCTATGGGCCTAAAGCGACGCACGATGTAATTTCCTATTATATAAGCGTAAAAAAAGACCCATGACGTACTCAGAGGGGATAGAATGCTTGAAGTGTCGCATAGGGTAAAATTCTGAAATTAATAAAATATCGGCAATGCTGTAAGACATGATGAATTTAGATTACATTGGTGCTGAGGTCAGTGGCATGTTTGGCTGACCAGCTGCAGCAATTCTTGGACCCCCTGGGTCGTTTTCGACCCACGACTGCCAGAGAAACAGCACTAAAGTCAAAATACAAACTTGATCACCTTGCCTGATACACATCATAACTTACAAGCAACAGAGTAGGAGTAAACAAAATTTATCATAGGTTTCCATCTTTAAAAATACAGGTCGCAGTCGTAGTAGGGAATACTAAACTGTAACTTAAAATTGGGAGAAAATAAAGTTGTACTTTTGTATATTGAAAGCAATCAGACATTTTTTCCAGACATCTTTAACTTTAAGAAAAAGCAATAGCTACAGAATACAGATGCAAAGGCAGGGGAATATATTAACTATGGTTAGTGGGCCCTAAAGATGTTTCCACTTTACATTCAAAATGCGTGGCAAAGGAATTCCCAACATAGTTTTTCTCATTAGAGCAGCAGCATTGCAACAAAATATAGAGATACTAAAACTTTTTCCTTCACTTGATCGAATAAAGTGCCGTCCAAAAGAAACTTGAAAATGTAATCACTCAAACATTGTATAGCCTTGCACTACCCACTCATTTCACTCATGCAGCTCAATAAACTGCTTCATCCGAAACCATATTTCATTGTAGGACAAGTGCATTGATCTCATCTCATCCTATGTTGGCCCTGAGGTGGCTAAAGTTCCAATGACATCTGCTGAAGCTCTAGCCTATAAATCTGGCCAAATTCCAAGAGCAAATTGCTGCTGCTCTGGTCCAGGTCAATCGCACTATAATTGGCCGTTCATCACTGAAGAGTCCTGGACTATCCGTGAATCACACAAGCAAGAGAAGAAATCCTGTTCCAGATGTACACTCTGATGACCATTTTCCAAAGTGGACAGTGTGCCAACGATGCAAAAACAAAAACTGCATTGGAAAGTCATCTGTCTACTACCGGAAAAGGGACGAGCATTTGTGCCCCAGCAGCGACAGAAACTGCTTTTTGATGTTCCACAATATGTGAACTTTTTCTTTATGCAGGACCCAGTGCTACTGACCCATATGATATATGGCACACATAATTTTTGACTCCTGTAAAACCCATTGACACATATTATAGGCCTATGGCACACAGTGTTAAACAATAACCATTATATATTTTTCAAATCTTTTGTTGTTAACTTCATCTCCGTGCAAAGGGAAATTTTATTTGTTAGAGCTATTTCTATGCTTGGATTCTAATACAGTAGTCTCCGCCTAAGATCCCACCGCTTACAATCCCGGTTCTCCTAAGATCCCGCTGTTTTAAGAAAACATAATTTTTACTATACAAAAGTCACCCCTAAGATCCCGCTCTGACTCACTCTGAAGGTCTACATTCGGCTAAGATCCCGCATTTCAGATCATAATTTGCGGAACAAAAATCCGAACGGGCACGGTCGATCAACCAAGAGTGAAAAGTTGAGATCAATAAACTGTCCGTCCCGTCAAAGATCAGCCACTATCGTGAATGTGATCCCATACACGTTGTAAAACTCTATGAAGCGATACAATGTTTGCCCCAGACGGGATCACACCGATGTGTGAACTGACCGACATGTTTGTTTTCCCCACGCATCGCACTCACACCTGACCCCCCCTCCTAAACTTACATCACTCGCTGAGTGGGTACGCCCTACAAACAGAATTCTACACCTAGGTGTAGAATTCTGTGGGCCTACACGTTCGCTCTAGGCGGGATCACATCGAACTGTGAACTCTTCCCTGACCATTGCAGCAGTTGTCTCTACTCCCGAATTTGTGAGACAGACGGAATTTTAATTGGTGTGTTCACAACGTAATGGTGTGTAACGACAAAGGTGGTAAGGAAACGGGACTCGGTCACAGATGGAAAGCTATAAATTTCCAACAGGTAAAGGGGAGGGGCAACTGGATAAACATAGATCTTGAGACTCATGATAGGATAATAAGTGAAAATGGCTCACCTCATGCCACTATGCACTGTGATAGGTCATCAAGGTTAACCACTCTTTGCTCACCATGTCATAAACCCACCAAGAGGTCACGTCAGTTCATTTTAGAGTGGAGGGAGACCATTTTACCGATTGTGAGCCTTAACATGAGTCACCGTAGATTCTTCCCTGGGTTCGTCGGTTAAGATCCCGGTTCGCCTAAGATCCCGCTTTTCCTTGCTCCCGAGCACTGGGATCTTAGGCGGAGACTACTGATAAGCAAACAAATTATTGTTCCATAACATTGAGCTTCTACGACTGATCACATCGACTTGTGAACTCTTCCCTGACCATTGCAGCAGTTGTCTCTACTCCCGAATTTGTGAGACAGACGGAATTTTAATTGGTGTGTTCACAACGTAATGGTGTGTAACGACAAAGGTGGTAAGGAAACGGGACTCGGTCACAGATGGAAAGCTATAAATTTCCAACAGGTAAAGGGGAGGGGCAACTGGATAAACATAGATCTTGAGACTCATGATAGGATAATAAGTGAAAATGGCTCACCTCATGCCACTATGCACTGTGATAGGTCATCAAGGTTAACCACTCTTTGCTCACCATGTCATAAACCCACCAAGAGGTCACGTCAGTTCATTTTAGAGTGGAGGGAGACCATTTTACCGATTGTGAGCCTTAACATGAGTCACCGTAGATTCTTCCCTGGGTTCGTCGGTTAAGATCCCGGTTCGCCTAAGATCCCGCATTTCCTTGCTCCCGAGCACTGGGATCTTAGGCGGAGACTACAGATAAGCAAACAAATTATTGTTTCATAACATTGAGCTTCTACGACCGATTCTCTGAAAAATCAATGAAAGAAAAGACAAAGACAAAAAGGGAGAGGAAGGAAGCAGTAAAAAAAAAAGAATAAATAAATAAAAGATCAATGTGGAAATAAATTTTTCTCATATACTTCAAATGTAAAGGATAAGTCGCCTTCCACATTTATGCCAGTGGGTACATTATTGGGATTTTGAATTCTTTTAAAGACATCTGTATCAAACTTGGGGAAAAACGTGTCACATTCGAACTCTTTGTCAACACGAGTGAGGTAAATCCTACAAGGACAGTCACCTTCAACAGCTTCCCTGTAGACAGAGGCACCACCAATAACAAAAACATTTTCCACATTAGCATCAGACTTTGCCAGATTAACTGCCTCCTTTAGACTTGAAGCTAGAAGTGCTCCTGAGGGTGGTTCCGTCAGCTGAGTGCTCAGAACAACATTCACTCTGTCTTGAAGAGGACGGAATTTCGTTGGTATCGACATCCACGTTTTCTTTCCCATTATCACCATGTTCTTTTTTTGTTCATCTTGTGTCTCAACCGTGAGTTGCTTGAAAAATGCCATGTCCTGTTTCAGGCGCCAAGGTAAACGCCCTTCAATACCAATGCCCATATTTGTACAGACTGCAACAACAATATTCAGCTTCGTTGACGTCATACTTCCCACTTTTAGAACTACCTGAAATGGACAAAAAAAGAAAAGAAAAGCAGAAATGAAATAGACAAGGCAAAAAAGTATGGTAGGCTACATGCACTAGCTGTGTGATTCAACCCCCTGACAAAATTTTCGAAAAACACTTTTTGATCCCTTTATGTAGCACAGCCTTTGGTACAACTTATGTTAAAATCCAGAGTTTGAAAGATTACTGCAAAGTGTTTCAATCCTTCAGTAAATCAATCGCCTCTATATATCACACCTCAGTCCCCAGTTTCCATGAGATTCAACCGCCCAAGTGCCAGTTTTGCAGCAGGGTGGCGAATGGGCGGTTGAATCACGCATATTCAGTGGCTTGTTGAGATGTTCACCTGTCGCATAGGCGGAGCCACCCACACAATTTGTCAAAACAGACTGGAGGGTAACAAAGTAACATCAAAACAAAGTGCTGCCTTTGCTAACTTCGACTCAGATAGAACCTTTTATCGATAGCCAGAAGATTTTGTGAAGGCAGTTTTTGCAATCTATTACTAGATTTAGATCTAGTAGGGTAGTAGAAAAATAGCAAGATGACATCAAAGAATGTTAATACAAACTCGATCAAGTCTAAAAATTGTGGCAAAAAGTACTGTAGCTGACGAATAAATTTTTATAAACGTCTGGGATTGACAGCTAAGGGGCACTTATTTCACATTCGGTACAACTACTGGAAAATATTTTTATTTCGACTTTTCTTCGCGTTTCTTGATTTTTTAAAAGTGTGCGCCCCTTGCTGTATCTGTCATGTACCATTCTTGAATCATTGATTAGTTAATCAGTGCCTGGTAGATGGTACTTAATTTGTCACCCCAAAAAATTCAACTCATAACGTATTCGCCCCAAAAATTCTCTCTTCAACAAACCTCCAATTTCAACTCTCTAGCCCTACACTTCAATTTGAAACAAATCTCATACATTCTACCTATATATATATATGCAAAACAATGAGTTTGTATACAACTGCCCTCACACAGTGGTTCTTCGTGACTGTTGCAAAGACAGTTTACATGACTTGGAGATGGGAGCTCCTCGATTGTCAAATTACCAGAGAGCAGAAGATGCGATAAGTAATTCTTTGACAAACATTACTACACACAGAATACCAGCAAAATCTGATCTTGACTAACACTTTCAAAGCCTCAGAGGCCTTTATAGAGAGAACCAAAGAAAAGGGAAAAGAGTCATACATTGTCCCAGACGACTTTAGAGAGATGTTAAAAAAGAGCAACCTGTTGTTGCATGTATGTCGGAAGGATCAATGTGATGTATATGCAAGGCTGTCGCCGTCATTTTATGAAAGAAAATTCTAAAATTATGCAAACTGAGCCCAAAAATATGAAATTATGTTATTCTATTAATTTTAACAAAGAATGATAAAGGAAAATAATCAGAAGTTATGCAAAAAATGATCAAATTTTGCTAAATTATGCTGGGTGCATAAAACCACGGGGACAGATGCAAGGTAGGAAAAAGAATCTAACACTAACATGAAGCTTGCACAAAACCCAGTGGATGGGACCAGATTATGTTTAATGTACATGGACTTGAAAGCGGATTTGTTAGTATGACGTTGAACGCATCTGCTGCACTATATCATAACAGGACCAAATTAGCTGTCTATATTCTTTTAAACATTTGGTTACCAAAGATGTGAAGTGTCACGTTTGGCACGAAGGAGAAGGACCATTGATTGCCATTGAGTTCTCTTCTTGTGTCAGTAGCTTCCTGGAGGAGCCTATTGACAATAAATATGCCACGTTCATTATATACAGTGAAGGCTGTTCTTAGCAGACCACAACGCTATCTTGTCAAATGCAATCAGCAACATTTGTATCAGATAGAACAAAACTGTAGAACACAAATACCTTGAAAAAGGACCAAAGCAAATGGAAGTGGACAGCACACAAAGATAATCTTGAACGTTTTTAAGAAAGCAAGACAATATACCCCCCACCCCCCTTGATGTTCGATTTGTAAACCATTCAGACCTGGTTGAAACAAACACATTTGTTGCCTTTGATACACACTGAACAAAAAATCCAATACAACATTTTATTAAGATGAATGGTCTTTTTTACCAACTCCATGGGGCCAAAAACAGTCTTGCCCCAAAAGACCCAACCAAATAACTTTATAATTACTCTTAACTTCATAATTACTCTTAAAATTATTATGATTTGCTTTTGTCGATTACTCAAACGCCCAAGCAACCATTGGCACTCATCGAGTGGTGTTGATTAACCCTATCCGTACGTCGTGTTTTATTATCGTATCCATACGACGTGGGGAACACTGTGCCACCACTTTCCAAAGAGGAAATTTACTCGTTTATTCCATCCTTACGCTTCGCATAGCAGTCCTTCAAAATGATTTTTTGAGAAATACTGAAAGTTTCAAAGAGATCTTTGTACTAGAAGTATTCTAAAATGTGAAGAATACAACCCCGGGGGTACAAAATGACCCCAGGGCGTACGGATAGGGTTAACGTGATTCAAACATCTAGACACCATCATACTGTCACTTAGGCGGTTGAATCACGTAGATTTTGGTAGGTCTAAACCGTCTATGTCCAGTAACTTCTGTAAGAAAGCTTTTTTTTTAAAAAAAAGTTAGTTACAGACCATCGTATTGCATCATATTATATCATATCTGAATGATTCATAGATACTAGCATAAAGAAATGAAACAGTTTTTCGCTTCTCCTGAAAAATTTGTCTTTTGGCACATGGGCGGTTGTATCACGCAGCGAATATATTATATATATATACAGTGGAGTCCACTTATAACGAGTCCTGAAACAACGAGAAGTCTGTTATAAAGACACTATTCAAAAACCCCGTTTTTTCTCTTTCTTAATCTTTGTAAATAAAATACTGCTATTGCGCAATCAGACCGTCACGCGAGTCGGTTATAACAGAATATTGCTGCTGCTGTGCACAGCGCACAGACCAATAAAAACATATAAAACCTTGCCAGTTGAGAAAGTTGTTGGTGATCCAGCGAAACAAAGAATGGGAGAGCCCATGCGAACCAACAATGAAGGCCGGAGCGAATGAGTGAGGAGGGTGTGGCAGAACGCATCGCGTGATAGGCCAGCCCAGTCTAGATTATCTAGGCATACCGTGCCTCTCACTTCTCTGCTGCGGGATGGAGAGGTCACAATGCTGTGATAGACGGATGGAGTGAATGTGAGACGTACGCAAGCAGACGCAACGCACCACAGGGTGTGGTGGGGTGGGGGACAACGCAGCAGGCGAGTAAGCCTTGAGCCAGAGCCCCTTCTTTCTGATCGTCAAGGCCGATTTGTCAACATTGCTAGTGTTAGAGAAAGAAACCTGATTTGATTTTTTATCAAGTAAGACCTAGAGATCATGTTTAACAAATCATCATCAGGGGAAACACAAAAAGGAATAAACAGAACGCCAAACTCATAGATTAGGCCTACTTAACTATCTCCCTTGAATTTTTTACTGGATCCCTTGTAACGAGAATCCTGCTATAACGGACATTTCGCACCGGTCCCCTCTTTCTCGTTATAACAGGATTCCACTGTATATATATATACATATCATACCCTTTACTGCAGACACCATAAATATCTTTCTTTATTTCAAATCATAGTTAAGATGAGCTAAGCAGGTGGTGAAAAGGTTGCCGAACCTGGACTAGGCAGAAAATATCCAATGAAATTATATGCTGAAACTGTGTGGGGCTTTTTTTTGTTAAAAACTCAGCATTTTTTAAGTATGAAAACGTAATTCACCAGAGACAGTTTTCATACGAAGATTTACCTAAGAACTGCCCGCATCTCATTTTCGTAATTATGGTTAAATACTGATCTTAAGTAGGACTTTCAGGGTAACCGACAAATATATGCTTAATACGGCCCATTTGTTCATACAAAGGACATAAAATTAGGTCTTAAACGCTACACGTCTCGTCTGAAAAATGATAAAAAATAGTAACCCTATCTTCAGTTCAATCGATTGTTTAAAAAGTGTAATTTTTCATTGTAGAACTAGAAATGCGATCACTTCAGTCATTTCATCAACCAAGAACAAAATTACTACACCGATTACGAAATTTTGGCGGTAAATGGTCGCGTCATTGATTTGAATTTTTGTCACGTTGTAACGATTAAGATCTGCGTGTTTACTTCTGCCAGAAGTATCTCGAAATTTTAGTGCGGTGTTTTTATGTCAAGTGCACTGGTTTCCAATCAACTTGGCTTTCATCTATTCCCCGGAGAGACAATGGTGTCTATAGAAAGTGAATATATATGAATGACTTCGTCACGGATTAAGATGTAAGTAATGATTAAGACTTGAATTGGTTTAAAATTTGCTTTCTTTTTTAAATGGCTGTAAAATGTGTGATTCATTGATGAAATCTTAGTCCCTCAAGGAAATGGATGAGTTTGGATCCTGCCAAAACAAGGATTGTTGATTTTCATAGTGTTTGTTGTATCGAAGCAGAAATTGGACAAAGAGCTTGATTTCTTCATTTTAACGATTTAGACTTGGTCTTTGTGTTATAATCTTTATAGAATGAGTAGTTTCTTTAAGAATTTCATTTCAAGGATTTCATGCATTGATGCCCCATATCTCTAGCTTTGAGGTTGGCAGTTGGGGCAATTAAAGGTGACAACTTGTTATCGTTGTCTGAAACATTGCAAATACAAGGATAAGGCTGCTTGGCTCAGTGTTTCAAATATTTAAGATCGAACATCAGTAATTTAACTTTGTAGACTCGGTCAATGGAATGCAAAGTATATTGATATGTCCCATTCTGGGTAATGTCACACTGTAGGCTTGGTGGTGCAAGACAAGGCGTAAACAGAGGGAACAAGGCGCAGAGGGCGATGCAAGTGATGTAACGTTGTTGTATGGGATTTTCCATGTCAATTTTAGTTTCAGTTGAAAATGAACAGAAAAATATTGGCGCCATTTCTCCTGATCGACACGGTAACTATAAAGAGAAAAGAA